GAGGGGAGGGAGGAGAGAATGGCTATTTATTACTGAAGTTGAAAAAAATCACCACCAAAGATTTACAGGCGCGGTTGGGATGCTCTGGAAGGGTAATGAGGAGGCTCAGATACTAACTGAGAGGCTGGTCATAAGTTTGGAGGGAGAGGAAATGCTGGATGGGCCTCCCAGATGTCCTTCTCCCTTCTAATGCCATGGAAAAATGTTCTTCTCTTGCTAGTGTTCCTCCCTTCTCCATGTCAGTTTCTCTTTGGGGTGGGGTGGGGTAGGGGGATGTGGGAAGAAGGTGTAATGTGGATGGTCCCCAGGAGGGGGGTTATCCACGTAGCAGATGCTGTGAGGTGCCACCTGACTCCGTTCAATGAAGGACTTGATTGTTCCAATGTTGTTGGCAGTTTAGAATTACTTACGGATAGCCTCATCCAAGGTCATGCTCCTTCCACGAGCTATATCTAGTGACTGGTAGTTTTAGGAATATTAAGATATGGCATTTCAGCTCAGCAGAGGACACCTCCAAAGGGTTCAAACTCTCAGATTTCCCCACTGGGTTAGCTGAGCCTGTTGTGGGCTTACCTGCGAGTTTGACATCTCCCACTGCCCACACTGGTTTCTGTCTCTTCAGTTCTATAAGAAATGATCCAAGGTTACTCCTTAATAACCATTCTTCACACTAAACTCTGTTTCAAGGTTTGCTTCCCAGGGTACCCAACCTATGGCCATTGACTTCAGATTGCTCTGAAATGAGACATTGAATCTGTCTTCCATTCATTAATCCACCCATTTGTCCACCTATCCATCCATCCACCCATTTAGCTCTTTACTATTTCTATTAAGCCCTCTTGGGATCTCAGAAGATTCATTATTCTTCTTTTCAGTAATATTTCTTCAGGTTGTAAGATCTATACTATCCATCAGGAAGCCATTTGCTTTGTTTAACTAGTTTCCAAAAGATATAAGTAAATGTGCAATGTTTGGCATGTCAGCATACTTTGCGATCAAGTTGTCAAAGTGCAGCTGTGGCTGAATTTGCTAAACGAATTTATGACATTAACTTTGGTTTAACCAAATTATCTCCAGGGGGCAGCAGAGAACGCGCTTATGGCGAATATGATTGGAGAAGCAGTTTCTTTTTCTCTTTCTCTTTGCCTTTCTCTCTCTTCAAAACAGACAAACTATGAGATTATAAGAGTCTCCAACTGGAAGAAAGAGTGAATGAGTAGATGACTAGATTTAGGAAGGGTCAGGAATGTGTCAGATACACTGGAGACAAGACAGAATAAAAATACTACCTGGTAAAGCAATTAGCCACATAACTAAGAAACAGACTTTGGAGTGAGATTTCTTGGGCTTAAATCCTTTCTTCATCACTTAATTAGCAGCATGATTGGACAATTCACTTAACTTCTAAACTGAAAAAAACAGGAATAACAAGGATATTTACTTTATATATTGAATGAGGCCACATTATTAAAGTGCTTAGAACGGAGCCTGGGTGTTAAGCTAAGGGCTTGACCTTGACTATTTACTATGGATGTGACCACTGAGGTCTAACACTGATATTTGATAAAATAATATGTGGCTACTAATTTCTTTGCCCTGGTTTTACTTTTTATTTGATATTGCACATATTTTACTTTCAAACATCGATTTCTAACTTGTTCTCTTTGCCCAGTCTGTGAATTTATTTTGAAAAATAATGATTAACTCTCATCTAGTATATGTTTTGTCTCACTTTTAAAGGAGAATTATGACATAACATCAACTGTACTTGGAAAGTGAAAATGTTCAGGGTGACTATCAGTAATACAGTGGAATGTAAAAGTAGATCTATTAATTTTGTGGGGCTCTTTTAAGTTACTCACTTAGCACATTTAGTGACTGTACATGGAAGGAGATCCAGGATTTCAGATGAGTTGTACTCAGAGCTCAGGTCTGCGAAGGTTGCAGAGAAGTGAACTGGAGAACAGGAAAAGAGGACCTGGCCAGCGGAGCGGCCGTTTTTTGCAGCCATTGAACAATGGTGTCTCCGAGGCAAATCAATATCCTCGCATCTGTAATCACTGTGCTATGAGGGCAGAGAGGGGAGTAAAATAAAGAACAGAGTGTGAGTTCCTTGAAATTCTTCACAGTGTTGGGCATTTTTCTTTCACCCCTTTGAAACTGTTACATTAGTACTTGGGCAACAGCGGGGTGGGGTAGATTGAGGGACTTGGGACAAGCGTTCAGTAGTGTCTTTGTGTGGGTATGCACGTGTGTGCACACTGTGGAAGGCCACACACTTCGGAGAGTTTACAGAAAGTACAAATGACAAGGCACGCAGGTGCTAGCCCATTTATGCAAAGATACACATCCAGAAAGTTGAGCTAAGGCATCAGAGGCAGGTAAGTCCTTGAGTTCTCTCCAGTCAGGACTCAGATTCGGAGGTGAACGAGCATGCACTAGAGGACAAGGGGTCAGTCATAGCAGGCGCTTAGTGTCTGTGCCGTGAGTGTTCGAGATCCATACAAGCTTCCACATAAAGCGGAAGTGTGCCGACGGCGAGAGAGTGATGTCTTCTAACTAGTTTGAGGTGTGGCTGGGTCTGAATCTGGCATCGGAGACAAAGAAATACATCTAACTGAAAAACAAAAAAAAAGTGTACTTCAAAGACATTCACAGACAGATAATTTTTTATTAAATCAACTATGTGCATCTGGGGGCATTATGTCTTAAAACAGCTCTAATTCACTAAAGATCACCAAAACTTACCAAGTCGTTTTGTTTTGGCCACCACAGCGTTAACTGAAGTCACTTTGTGTTGTTACTCTTTTGTGTGCACTGATTCTTAATTGGCAGTATTTGCAGAGAGCAGGAAAGACTGATGGGGTAAAAGTCTGGGATTTTTGGTATGAGCTGTACCATCTTCCTGGTCTCATCTGCTTTCCTGCTCTGCTTCTTGGGTCTGGTGCCCAAGGGACACAGACAAGAAAAATATGGGCCCTTCAGTTATTTCAGAGATGTGCATGTACTAGACAAGCAACCCTCTCTTTTATTATGTTGACTTCCGTGGCATGTCTTGCTGGCTGGTTATGCTAACAAATGCTCAGTCCTTTCATTGTTCTTCCAAACACGTGCCTCCTCGGGAAGTCAAGGTGGGAGCTGAGAGGTTGGCGGTGGGGCGGAGGCGATAAAGGAGGTGGAGAAGAAGTTGCATCCTGCCTAATCTACTTAGAAATTCTATGTTTTTTGATACCATTCATGTGATTCTTAAACTGCTGATTGCAGACTGTGGTCTGACCTGAGATGACTACATGGGGAGTTGCCTGAAATTTCAGATGAGAGGAGTTGAGTGGAAAAAACACAGGGCTGGCAAACATGAAATGTGAGTTTTACTTTCAGCTGTGTCACGGAGTCCCTTTGAGACATTAAGCAGGTCATGCAGCCTTTCTGTGCATTAGTTCTGGCTGCCACTGAACTGGCATTAAAATAGGTGATCAGCAAGAAATTTTGATGACATAAGAAAACACTCATGTAAGTACAATATAAATGGAAAAAAACAGGTTATTGACTTGAGTAAGAAACTTGCCTGGTATCATCAGAGTAGTAACTGCCCAGCAGAGACTTAGGTCTATCTGTTACTAAAACTCATGGTCTTAACTACTATCAACCTTAACATCAATGTGGTGGAAGCCAGAACATTATATTTCAAGTGACAGTTCATCATGGATTTCCTGACATCTGGTACAATATTAGACAGAAGGGAAGTCATTTTTGTGTCCACCGTTGTCACATAGCTCATGTCTTCAAGTATCACATGCCCTCCAGCACCTGATTTCTCTGTGTGAATCCAATTGATTCACTGAAAGCAAAGCTGGAGGAGATGAAGGGGGGAGGGGGTGCAATATATATAGTTTACTTACTGTTTGGCAAGAGGAAAGATAAAAGTGCTAACTTCAAAGAAAAAAATGCATGTTGTTTAGTCTTTTTCCTGTTTGCAATGCTTTCTTCCCCTTCCTGGAGAGTTTTGCCTTGGCATAAGAAATTCTTAGTACATAGAGAATTTCTTTCCTCCAAACATAATCTAAGTGCACATGAACTAGCACATTAAGGCAGAGATTTTTTTTTGTAAGTCTTGATTACAGCCCTGTGACAGCTAAAGATGGGTGTTTATTTGTAATTTGGTTCAAACAGTCAGTGTAGTTCTTCAAAGTGAACATGAATGGAAATAACTACAAAATCGTAATAGAGGAATGCCTCCCCAGACCCCATCAAGAGTCGGCGACTTAACCTCTGAAACTTGTGAATAAGCAAATTTACACGGGAAAAGAGAATTTGCAGATGTGATAAAGTTAAGGATTTTGAGATGGGGAGATTATCCCGGATTATGTGGGTGGTCTGGTATAATCACAGGGTCCTTATAAGAGGGAGGTAGGAGGGTTATAATCAGAGAATGTGACATGGGAACAGGAGATGGGAATGATGTAGTTACAAACCTAGGAACGCTGGTGGCCTTTAGAAGCTGGAAAAGTCAATGAACAGAATCTCTCCATGTGTCCAGAAGGAACATAGCCCTGCCCACACTCTGATTTTAGTCCCATAGGGTCCATTGTGAACATCTGACGCCTAGAACTATAAGATTCATGTTTGTTGTTTTAGATCACTCAGTTGATGATAGTTTGTTACAGTAGCAATAAGAAAATAATACACTTACGAAGAACTTAGATTTGTAAATATTATAGGCAGCAATTTCATGCAACATTTTTTAAGGAAAAATTTTATTCCGAACTTTATGACTGAGGCTGTCTACTTCTTCGACTTGGAGAAAATTTCTACAAAGTTATCATGCCTGGGAAGTTTAAAGGGATGGGTCAAAAATAGATAAATAGTCTGCTTTGCTCTCTAATCCAAGTTAAGACAAATTCGTTTATTTTGGGCACGTCCAATGCCTTACTGTAAAATTTATGTGTAGAGCAGAAGTGAGAGAAGGACCAATGAGCTGAAAGATAATCAATCTGCTTCCTCCGTCCTTGCTTCAGTGCTTCACACAGGAAATCTATTGCTGTGTCAAGTTCCAGAGAAGAAGAGTTTCTTCTGTTCCAGGAGTTTTCTCAGTCTGAAGCCCAGGGTTGAAGGAAGGGACCAGGAGGACAGGAGGGTCCCGCTGCTGATGGGCTGAGACGATTGAGCCCGGAGAAGCTGACTAGAAAGAGCCTCACCATGTCCACAGCTTCTTTCATACGTATGTGGAGGAGAAGGACTGAGTGAAGGGCAGAACACAAGCGAACAGAAATGCCCTGCTGTGGGAGAACTTCTGCCCTACAGCTACTGCCAATACTGACAGTCTTCTTAGTGGCTGGTAAGTTTGAATGGTCTTCGGAGGAGTGACAGGAGAATGGCTGGCTGGTGAGAGAGCTGGTGTCAGCTTTCCCTGAGCTTTCTTTGCCTTTCTTACAGAACAATACAAGATAAACACAGTCATAGATGTGGGGGGTGGGGTTGCTCCCAGATTCGTTTCACTTTATTAACCTTATTTTACCTCTTTGCCATACTTATTTTACTTTGTATCCAGCTACGTATACTCATTTATATGATTTGCCTCACTCCCTGCTTCCTTATTTCCCCCTTCCCCACTTTTTTTGAACAAGGCAGAATAAATTAAATACTTTGTAGTAGCAATCCAAGTCATTTGGGTTATCTTTATCTTCTTTTCCCTTTCAAAAGAATTAAATAATAATCCCAACTCATTTAGGTCCGTATTATTAACAGTATAAATTAGAAATTTTTATTGCTTTCTATCACTTTCTATGACCAGGTGTTATAAAAAAATATAATAACTCATTGGTGGTGCATCTGTGATGTGTGCCTGTATTTAGTTTCAACATGTGTAGGCTGTAAGAAACATTTTTTAGGGGGAAGTGGAGGAGGGTATAAGGAGGGTAAATGGTGATGGACAGAGACTTGACTTGGGGTGGCAGGATTGTGCCCCTGAAACCTACATACTTTTGTTGATTAGTGTCACCCCAATAAATTCAACAAAAAGGGAAGAAAAGAAAAAAAGACACTTTCTGTGCTAGAGGACACACTCTTCAAGACCTAGGTCCCCGTAGGTGTTGAAGAGAACTTGGAACTGTGTGGGGGTGTCCTGGTTTCACTATAGAAGGTTGGTAGGAGTTGATGTGGGAGGGATTTTTCAGGTTTCACTTTTAGTAAATGGGAGCAGTTGCAAGGAAACAGTGTAGCTGGTTTTAAATTTTATAATTTGATCATTAAAAGAAGAAAGAGTATTTTTTTCTCATATGGGTGACTTAAAAACATAGCCTGTCCTCCAGCAAAAAAAAAAAACAACCCTGTTTCCACATGATAATCTTACTGGTGTGCACACACAAAATAACCACACTGTGCTACTGTACCTTTCTGTGCAGGTTTTTTCACACACTTTTTCTCCTTTGATCTGCAGTGAAATAGGCACAAAAGACATTTCTCCATTTTATGAAGGTAGAGACTGAGGCTTAGAGAGGCGAAATGATTTGCCTGCCATTACGAGTACGTGGCAGAGTCACACCTGGGTACTTCTGTATGCATCACTAAACATTCGAATAGGCAACTTCCCTTAATATTTAGCATGATACTTTTCACTAGAAAGCACCACTATTGATAGAACCACTAGAAAAAAATTAAGCCAATATTGGTTATAAACTTAGTGGAATATTTACTCATATAACAAATCAAGTGATCTGACGTTTTCAATAGTTGAGATTTTGTTGGAGAAACTTTGTACAGAAATCTGTGTAGGACCCAACTCAGCAGGGAAGCCATTGATGTCAAGTCGCACTGACTTGGGTAAAGGAAAAACAAAATCAAGATTAAGACCATATATATAAATGACCATATATATAAGTATATACATATATATAAAAATAGCTTGATACCTTTGCATAGTGATAGACGGTTACTACATTTACTGTGGTGAACACATTTTGAGATGTGTAAATGCCAAACCATCATGTCATACATCTGAAGCTAATATAGTGTTGGATGCCCACTGTACATTAAATACATGAATATTTCACACCCCTTAAAGACTAAAACATAATGGATAAGTTTGAATTTTAATGGTTTAAAGGCTGGAATTTTAAAACTATTTCTAAACACAACTAGGGGACACTACATATATCAAACACTACTGTTGGCTTGTACAGTTAGAAAGTCATCAAAAGGTTTGGAATAAAGATGCAGGAAAGCAAATTACATGCAGTGATGCGGCGTGATAAATTTACCATGAAATAGTTTAGAGTAAATGAGAAGCAAGCCACCTGGGGCATGAATTCGTCTTTATTACTAGTATTGCTTTGTTTTTAATGCTGTCAAACATCAATAACTCACTTTGACTAACGTACAAGGTAAATGCACAAAGGAGCAAGGGAGCTAATGACTTTGATGTAAAACACAGCATTACAAAAATCTATCTACTTTCATCTTTACTCACTTGCTTATAAATTCAAGCCATGTGGGTGTTGGTAGCAAAGTTTATTCAGAAAATACCTGAGGGAAAAGATGAAAACGTGTAAGCGGTCCGCTGCAGAGCAACCTGGCAATTTTGTGTCTGGTCTCCTTTGTGTTCCCATCACCCCACATCTCTTCCTCTTTATTTTAGCCAATTATTGCCTATGTTTTCCTTAAGTTAAAATTATATTTTGCTATTACAATGAATATGATTCTAGCCTTTATAAAAGTCACTGATGCTGAGATTACAAATTACTAAAAAGGAATCTCCACTTTTTTCTTCTTTGGGCTAATTTTGACCATTTATCATTACGCTCCACTAGGGGGCAGGCGGTAATAAGATGGTGAGAGAAAATCAAGACCGGGCTGTTAGGTAGTTTCAGCAGGTTTGCAAAAGATGGAACATGAGATTCAAAGCAATTGCGAAATCGTGTGGTGTTTTACAAAAGCAATTGCGGACAAAAAAGGGTTTGTTCTCATTAATTTCAGTTCTATTTTCCTTTTCTAGTTTGCATTAGTTGCAAATTTACATATAGTAATTTTAGATGTGTTTTCTCTAAACACACATGCTTAAGCAATTAATAAATTAATGGAAAGTCATTGTTAAAAATGACTTTGGAAGTGTCATTTGGAAGATGTGTGTGTCTGTGGATAGTGTCTAAAAAGTTATTAGCAAGCTAAATTAGGCAAAAATCAAGCTATGATGACAATTTAAGAGAACATTTAAAAAAATCAGTTCATCTTGAAATTGTCTATGAAACTAGTAAAAATCCAAAGATAGGAGAAATTACAGTGGGATGGACTTGTCCAAGGCTTTATGGAGGAGATGGGTCTTGAGCTGGGCCTTGAATGAGAGCTTTGGATTGATGGGGAGAGGTAGAGCTACCCGTAGACAGGCGTGGATGTGCAGCATGAGCAGAGGCAAGGTGGTTGGGGAGGGAAAGAACCCTTACCTGATGGAGTGGAGATTGTGTGTTATACAGTGACTGGAAATAAGGCTGCATTTTAGGGGACCTTGACAGCTAAACAGTGGAACTTAGATAATGTACAGTAAGCACTGAGGAGCCATCCATTGTTTTGTGAACAGGAAAATAATAAAATAAAGCAATATTTTCAGAGAATATTGTGGAAGCAGTGTCTCATTCAGTGCGAGTGACACTTGATTAAAAAATTTGTTTTGCAGCAGGAGTCAGGAGTCCTCCTACCTTTAATGTCCATTTTACAAAGCCCATGATTCTGCTGCAATATATTGGTGGCTGAGAAGGGAGGTTTCTTTGCAGAGGAAGATGTTAAATTCAGTACAGGGAAAGAGGAGGGCAGGGAGGAAAATTCCAAAGGTACCTGGAAGTATAACACAATCTATCAGTGGACTGGGGGATTCCACAGAGTCCTCATAGAAACAAATATAGTAGAATAGGCATGAAATACTTTTGTGTTTGTGTCCTAAGAGTGATTATTATCTCTGTCCTCTCAATAACAGAAAGCAAGATCTGAGAAGAGAAGGAAAGGGAGTTTTTAAGCTTGAAAAAGAGGAGAAAAACTTCTAAGATTGAGAAGATGAGAAGTTAGGTATAAGGATGCCAATAGGCTGAGAATAGAAATAAAGAGATGAGATAGCTCCACAATAGGTAAATTTCCCTCTAATAAGGTCATGAGTATTTCAGTTAATGGTGCTAGTTAATAAAATAACTCAGTTGCTTTTTGGTTTTATACTGTCTATGAGAAATCAATCTGCACAGTGACAAAAATTTAGTAACAACTGGTACACTTTTCTTCCTTGTTATCACTGACATACATTTGATCATTTCTGCCTAAGATTAGGGAGATGACCTGTGGTTAAGAAATAGCTTTGGATGTTGTCATGAAACTCATGTGAGAGTCACAATCAGTTAATTATTTGCAGGAAAAACGCTGTTCATACATGAACACTGAGCAAACAATTTAGAAATTTTCTTAGCTAGAGTGTATATGCCTTATCTGTCCAAAAAAACTAGAAAAAAATCTTAAAAACAAAATCTCATATGTGTTTAAGGATAGCAGTAGAAACAAGTACCATAAATAGCACTGAGAAGTGCTAGAAGCAAACCATTTTATTTAAAAATATTGGTTCCTTTGAGTTGCTGATGCTGTTGCAGGCTCTTCCGGGATCAGACTCTGAGAGAGAGTTTTGAGTAGAGGATGTTTATTAGGGAGGACAGTTGGAAGAAACACCTGAAAGGAAGGCAAGTTTGCATAGAGGGAAGTCAATATGCAATTTCAACCCTCACCTGATCCCCATGGGGAGCTGTGGAGTTAGAATGGCCTTAGAGAGGTCCTACGTTGAATCAACATGGCTGGGCCTTTGTACCTTCATCTCAACCAGTTGTTGAATGTGGAATGCCCTGAGAAGGGTCTGACTTTGTGCAAAGTAATTGAGTTGATCTCTGAAGATGCTGAGAACTGAAGGCTGTGTGCTGATAGTGGCCATAGCAGTACCAGCAAAAAGTCATTCCTTGGAGGAGATTCCGAGTGCATACACTGTGCCCACCACAGCTGCTATCTCCGTGGTCTTCATTCCTGAATTTCTGAGTTTGTCTGTTACTATTCCCCTTCAGTCTAAATAATATCTTGTACCATTTTTACTAGTGTAGGCCTACAGGTGAGGAGTTCTTTTAGTTTCCTTTTAGCTTAATATGCCTCACTCTCGAAGCATATTTTTGCTGGATATAGAATTCTAGGTATTCTGGGTTGGCTTATTTTCTAGCACCTTAAAAATATTCTTTTACCACTTTTGATGAGAAGTCAGCAGACAAATTGCTGTTTCTCTGAAAACAATTTCTCAGTTTTCTCTGGCTGCTTTCAAGATCATCTCTT